AGTGAAACTCATAGGAAGTAAGTAAAACAAATATCACTTTCCACTTATTTCTTTATTCAAAGCCCCATTTCTAACAGACAATTGCAAGGATGCGTGGAGAGATACAAAGGTATGATTTTACCTTCTGCAATTTCATGAAACATGTTGTTAAACCCTGTGAAACCAGAAGGCTATATTCAAGTGTGGTGAGGTGCCAATTTTCATTTATTAACCACCTGGTTTTCTTTTTAGTTAGAAGTGAAAGCATGAGTGTCTTTCTGATAAGAGAGACTGCTCTTTGCAAGTGATTTGGGAAAAAATAAGTAGATATATTTGTCACTGGATTTCTCTCTGGAGATTTAACTGTGCTGCAGAGGTAGAAATACACTCCTCTGAAACATGTTCTCTTAAACTCACTAACTCCCATTCTCTTGGCCCCAGCTGCTCTTCCCCTCTCTCCCTTCCATTTGTTCCTTCTTGTGTATTCATCTGTTATCTATTTTTTCCCATATCTCCACTGCCCAGAACTGCAGTTTGGTTATGCAAATGACTTATGAAATGAGTAAATTAGTATATAGGGAGAGAAAAGGAGGAGACAGGCAAGTAAATAACCAGTGTATGGTCAGAGAGCTAAGAAGATTCATTTTATTTCTTGCTTCTTGACTGTCTCCTTCAAACCCTAAAGAATTCCAATGCCTTGCGGTACTATGTACCCCCCATAGATGTAGGGATAGAGTTGGGAATACCAGTTTGTAGGTTATTATTATAATCATGTTTGAAAAAAATGATGGTAGCATGCTCTGGGATGACTGCTATGAACTTGGAAACAAATGGGTAGTTTGGGATATATTTTTCAGGATTTTCTGAAAAACTGAATGACAGAAAGGAAGAATAGGGTCTTTAAGTGAGGATGTCATGCACAAAAGAATAGTGCAGTAGAGCTGGAGGTTGATAATGGAAAGCCCAATGGGAGCAGTTTGAGAGCTATTAAGTCACAGGTGTCAAGGGTCAACTTTTGTTGTCACTGGCATTCAAACAAAATGTCCAGGCTAGAGGTGGGCATTTGTGAAGAAGAAGTGTGAGGCATTTACACAAGATTAAATGCATAAGCTTCACTAGAAGGTCTGTGTAGGATAAGAAGGCAGGAGTTCCAGGGAGGAGGGCCTGGAGCATGCCAACACTAGTGGTAGAGAATAAGAAGACCAGAAAAAAGGGACTGAGGTAGCTTACATGCTCAAGAATGTGTAGGTTCTCATTTCACTTGGATTTTAGTTAGAAATAATTTATGAACATGGATTTTATTTTATAATGTGCTTTATCTGAATTTACATTTTCAGAATAAAATGCTCCTAGCTTTACTACATATACACAAAAACATGGATGTGTGACTTGTACTTGTGCTAGGGTTGATATTAAACTTATTAACATTTTTAAATAAATATATATTCTAAGTTAAGATATAAACTCTTACTTAATTCAATGTTTAACCAATAGAAAAAATAATTTGAATTTGAGCCTTATTCATAATTATTTGTTCATCTTGTATCTTTCAAAGTACTTTTTATCCAATGAAATATTTTCTCTTTTTCTCCAGTTATATCTGATTGATTGTTGACTTAAGTGTTTGGACTGAGTTTAAATTTCAGACCATTATCAAATAGGGTTTAGTTATGTTCTTTTTATCTAGATAATTAAATTATATTTATGACTACCCATTTAAAGAGCTATAATTGTTAAAATATATGACATGTTTAAAGACTTAAGGCAGTTAATGGTACATGGGATTTATGTGTCCTTAAAATTATTTTGTAGGTGGCAATATTTTCTTCCATGCAATTCTATTTCTTTCTGGACACCAACATTGACTTTAATTGTGGAAAATGAATCTTTAATTCTCGCTAGCTATAATGTTTGTCATTAAAAGACATGACCAGAAATACTGATGCCTGCTAAGTCACTGATCAAATTGAGTTACGCCCTATGCTGGCGTCTGAAGACCGCTCTGGGAGAGGGAATCCACTGGGATGAAAAGGAGGAAGGCATGGTAGGCCATGTGAGGAGAGCAGTGAACCAGAGCAACTTGTGTAGGTTATAAAGATAGAAAGTAAAAGTAGCTTTTTGAATTACATTAATAAAATGAGCGTAGCTTCTTTTGTCAGAGTCATTGTGTGGCATGCTCCAGAGATGAGAGGACAGCTCAGATTCCAAACAGTAACAGCAGGTGTCTCTAACACTGGGTCCTTGTTTACACGCATCAAGACCTCCTGATGACTTACTGCAGGTGCTACAGCTGACTGACACAAAATCTCTAGGCATTGCCAAGTCATCATTTTGTTCAAAATAAACACGTAAGCCCTGTCCTCATTCCTAGGTGAAGCTGGTGCCTGCTCATATTTGAGAACCACCAGTGTGGACACACGAAAAGAACATGTTAGAAAGAAATCTTGAAAATATAGACTGTAGAATTAAATGGAAGGGAGTTGCTAAGGGTATTTGCAGTGTAAGAAGTGCACAGAAAAGAGGATGAAGATAGATAATACTCATGAATAAAGTAGTCTTGAATTGCCAAGAAAGAACAATAGAAATAAAGAAAGAAGCTGATAAGATTATATCCAAAAGATTAGAAGTATAAAACAGAAGAGGCCTTTATTCTGAGAACACGGAGAGAGAAAACCAAAATCCCCGACCACTGGAGTCAGCTTTCTCTCTGGCGGACACGTGGCTTGGGGGATATGTAAGTAGCCTCGGTTTGGGGTGGAACCTAAAGGGGCATCAAGGGTGCACAGGTAGCCCATTGGTCTTGGTTTGGCACCATAGGTAAATTCCTAGGGGGCAGGGAAGATGGAGTCACAGGTAAATTCCTCAGGGTGGGGGAGATGGGAGCTCCTTGGTTCCACCTCTAAGGCTTCACCAGCTACAGTGTCCTGTCTGGGCCAAAACCCTTTCAGAAGCCAATAGAGGAAAGGGTCAAAAAGGATGAGTCAGAGCAAGTCCATGAGAGGCCAGAAGCAACAAACGTAACTCAAGATGAGGAGGCAAATGAAGAGAAAGTTAAAAGTCCCAGGAACTTGAGTGCTCTTCGTTTCCAGGGACTGAACAGTTGGGGACCTGTGAATACCCATAAGACCACACCAGGAAGCAAACAACTGATTGACAGAGGAGCAGGCTAGCAGAGAGGGTCAGGAGCATCTAGCATAGGTGGCTTTGTGTGTTAGCTCTGTAGCCAGAGCTCTTCTCAGCTGTCAGAGCCCCCTGGGGTACCTAATGTCACCACCCCACCTGGCACCCAAGGGCACATTAGAATATTCAGACAATTGCTTTCTTTGGAAAAACGACATCAGGTTCTTCAAATTATAAAAGACCATGGGAGATTGAACTTTGTAGCCTGAGTATCAGGAATAGTTAATGATTTTCGTTCTGTAGCTTTCAGTCCTAACAGAACTAGAAATAGATAAAAGTCATACACTGGGATTATCCTTTTTCGTTCTTCCCTTCTCAACTGTTATTTGTCACTTTCCTTAATCTGCATTAAATTTAAAAATCTACAGGTAAGAATTGAGAGAAAACCTGTATGAGTGTCAGAACCCAGCCGTACATTCCTTAGTTTTCATCCTGTCACAGTCACTGACTTCTTTCATTTCTTCTGAATAGCTCAAGCATCCAATGACTTTCCTTTTAATCATCATTTTAAAAAATTCTGGTGAAATAAGAGAATTATTTATTGTATGTTTGCAGTTAAAATATCATTTCCTTAAAGATTCTGATTTTTCCTAAAAGCGGGAGAAACAATGAATTTCAGATACAATTGTTTTATTGATTTCTTAATTTTTCAAAATGAGAAGTGGAATTGTGAGAACTGAAAATTTTGAGCTATCAACTGCAAGGGAAATATTTAGTAATATTCAGTATATACTCAGCACCTCCAAGGCATTTACCTAGGCTAGGTTACAAGGTATTGGGAAAAGCCACCTTGGCAGATACAAAGGATGATCTCACACCAAGCAAGTGAATGCACCACACATGCCTCCTCACCCCTCCACTCCACCTTCCTATGGCATTTCTTTATTCTATTCCTTTCTCTACAGGATCTACAGGAATTCCCCCATCTGTCTTTCCTCATGAAACTGGCCAAAGATTCCTTTGCTTCAAGGAATCTCAACTCCTGTAGCATTTTGATCAATTTTAGATAATAATCATGGCAATCCAATTTGATTAACAATCAGTTTTAAACTTCTTTGCGGGACAGATGGAAAACCATAAGAAACACAAAAGGTGGTGATAACATAATGGCTGATTAATGCTATAAAAGTTCTCTTTATATTCAATAAAAGTAGCCATTTGCCCACTTGAAATTAATTTATTTTCTCCCCATTTCTCTACTACTAATATTCACTTCTTCTCTCACTTGCTCAGTATCATGGGTAAAAATATAGATAGTAGTTATAGAACACCTGTCATATACCAAGTGCTATTTTAGTATGTTACAGTCATGACCTCTAACCTTTTCCACCTCTTAGAATTGTTTGGATAATTAGTCCCAAGGCCAAATAATAAGTGGCAAGCCAGATATTCTATTGTGATTGCCTAGAATATAAAGGCTCACACTTTTCTTTCTGTGCTATGCAGCCTCAAATTCATAATAATATTAATCCTTCTGAATACTAATATCTGATATATATATATATATATATATATATATATATATATATAATCATATAGAATCTACCAAATAGTTGAGCAAAGACTAGACTTTTGTCATTGTTGTTGTTCTTTGTTATTTAATTTTTTGCTTGTCAAGTGACCTACCACTGAGCTAAATCCACAACCTAGATTAGATTTATTTTTCCCAGATCTCTTTACTTAAAACCTGTTAGAACACTGTGGAATTCCCTTACAACAGTTCTTAGGTGTTCGACTGGAATTAATGGCATTTGGACTTCTGTTTAGCAGTGACCACCTGATAAGAAGGATGCACATTCTTCCTGGTTTTGTGTAACATGCTGCTATCTATGTTGCTCTAGCACTGGATACCAATTTATTTACTATTCACCTGAAAACACAGCGAAAGCAAAAGAAGTGCTCAGCAACATCAATCAACTACAACCTCTTATAGCAACCCATGCAGACCTACTGCTGAATTCAGCAAGCCAGCGTTCTCCAGACAGCTTGAAGAATTCTTTAAAGATGCTTTCAGAAAAGGTAAGATCCAAATCATGACTCTAGTGGGGAAAATGAAATATTCCCATGCCCACTTGTGTGGCTTTCTGCATACATTGCTTTTCATACCATCTGGAAAAGTAAAAGAGATGAGCTTAAAAGTAAGCTTCAAAGTATTGCCACAGGATCAAAATGAATTGGCCTCATTCTCCTCTCTGGTGTTACCTAACATTATTTATTTTGTTTTCCTAATAGGAAATGAAACTTATACTGGTATATATTTTCTATTTTTGTTGGCATCTGTCACATTCTTTGGTTTATAGTCTTAGTAAGTGAATTAAACTTGATTTTTGAAAATTCTTAATTTTCCTCTTGTGATAAGCTAATTTTTGTGCATATAAACCTGTTTAAGTAGGAATGTCACTTCATTTGAAAACATAATTTTGAAGTTGATTCACATTAGTGGTTTGTTTTTCTTCATGCATAATTACATACTGGGAAAAGATTCTAAAAATTTCCAAAAAAATTAGTTATTTTTTTGAAAATAGTGGAACTTAAGCTTCAATTTATGATGACTTTTCACCTGCATCTAAGAAAGGAAAGATGACCAGATATGAAGAAGATAATATCAAATTCCATAACTACTTAAGGCAACTCTATAACAGAATCAAGGCAAAAAAGACAAACTGCAACTTAATTTTAAACATAAAACCAGTTATACTTGTCTAATACTAATATGCTTTTTCCTTCACCTGTATATCTGACATTTTGTAATTTTTCATGAGATAATAAATATATATTTGAAGAAACTGACTGAAGTAAAATCTCATACTATAATTTCAGATTAAATCTACAGTTGATTCTTCATACTCAAGAACATGTTTGCAGATACCTGCAAACTATGCTTTTCTATACTTTTAACTCAAACACGTCAATTTACAATATTATTTGTACTTATTTCACATGTTATCATAAACTGTACATTTTCATGTATTTTCTCATAAAGGAAAAATTTTCTACTTTTATTAAAATTAACTAATATATGAAAGTCAAGTGAGTTTAAATAGAAAAAGATTAACACTTGGAGAAGTTATAAAGCTGTACAATCAAATAGCAGAAGTCAAAATTCAAAAAAAAACAAGGGGATCAAGCCAGGGTCTATACACTAATATATGTATTTTGGTATTTCTTTTGTTTTTAACATTTAATTGTTTGTTGGAAAATTTTCTTAACACTTAGATACTGTAATGTAAATAATGCCTTTAGGACTAAGGAAAAATGAAAGGAGATGTTTGCATACAGTAAAGCAATATATTTTCATTTTGTTTCATTTCTTCTTTGGATTTGTGGGTAACGTAAGTTGTTCCTGGGTTCACCTAAGAAGAAAGTTTTAGCAAATAGCGCATCACTGCATTGGTTATGGAACAATATTTATATTCTTCCTGTGCGCTGGTCGGGGACTTGGTATTTCATATATCATTTACAACTTGCTGCAGTGATGAGGGGGTATTTCTGCTCTAATCCAATGCTGTTCCAACTTTTCTTTTATGTTTTCTACTGAAGAGACAACATTTGTCTACTAATAAATCTCTCAGTCCTTGAAACTTGGAGGATCTTGTTACAGCTAAGTTTGCAAGCCATGCATTCTTCTGAGAGTTCATGGCTGGAATTTGAAAACATTACTAAAGTAATAGTTTTTGCATAGCCTGTGGAGACTTCAAGTAGTTCATAGTTTAGAATTAAGTATAATCCATAAATTTAATATGGAAGAAAAACAGTTGTAGTGATGTCCTAAGTTTTAATTTAATGTTTTAGTAAGAATTAAATTTTAAAAGTTTTGCTTTTTTAAGTTTCAGTGTTTTTAGAATTACTGTATAGCTAAAATTTCTTTCATCATTGTGGTACCATTTTTTTTTTTTTTTTGTCTTTTTCGTTTTTATCGGTACCAGGGATCAAACTCACGACTGCCTGCTTGCAAGGCAGGCGCTTATGCTGCTGAGCTAAATCCCCAGGCCCGATGGTACCATTTTTTAAAAATAATTTTTACTGTGTATATCTAAGATATACAGTGTGATCCTATTTAAGAAACACATTATGAGCCTGTGATTTTACAGGGACACATAGAGATACTAAATTGAACTAACTCGTGTGTTATCATTTCACACTGTTATTGCTTTTGTTGTGATAGTGTTTGAGGCAAGAATATTCAAGATCTCAACTTCGCCAACTATTAGCCATTGAATGCCTAGACCTACAGCTTTGGTGCATCCATAACAATGGAATATAATGAAATGTTTTATCTTCGAATTCTTGTTCTTTCAGTTTTTCTGTATAACACATATGCATTGCATCCAAAAATTTAAAAAAAAAAAATCTGTCTCTGGCATCAATGGGTTAAGATATATCCTCCTTATGTGACATGGTAGGTACCTACTGTTCCTACATATCTACTACTTCGTGTCTTCTGACTTACATCTCCCAAATTCTCTTATTGATTCTGAACTGGTATGTTTTCAAAATAATTTCTTAGTGTTTCTTTAAATAAAAACTCTTTTTTATTTAAAGAAAAAAAACAGTAAAAGGGTACAAGTAATACAGAGTTCCAAAAAAAATAAACAGAAATCACTAGTTAATAGATTCCATATTGTCATCTTAGAAATAGTTGATCAAGTTACAAAATTAAGCCTATAAAGTGGACATTCAAACAGTGAGACTGCAAACAGTTGTGTTCAATGATACAACAAAAACTTAGTAATATGGTCTTCTATCTTACACACCTAAACACGCAGTTGTGTCCTTTAGAGCACTTTCTTTTACTCTCTTTTTTACAATGACATTTACACATTTTGGGTTTTATTACTCCCACTGTCCTTATTACTTTCTTTTCTTTCTTTCTTTTTTTTTTTTTTTTGAAGAGAATAAAACCAAATGTGACAAAACAAAGCAGTCAGTCAAAACAAAGGATGGACATAGTACATGATGTAAAAATAGGATACAAGGTAATTGACAATGGTTACTATAATGCCTCTTGCTACCTTAAAAAGAATTGCCTGTATCATCAGGTATAATAAAAATGAACAAAACAGTGCAGAACAAAACCAATAAAACCTAAACATTGGAGACATTACTGAACTTCAAAAGAAGATAATAGTCAAACCAGATGGGCATCATAGTGCATCTTATTGCCTTCAAAGTAGTTACCTGTACCCTCAAATTTGATACTATCAAACAAAACAGAATAGAGTAAAATCAGTCAAAACAAGATGGTGAGAGCAATACAGGGGTTCAAACTGAGTTAATAGGAAATCAAAAAAGTTACTATAATATATCCTGCTAATTTTAAAAAAAAATTTTTCCCTAGGGGCTGGGGATTTAGCTCAGCAGCATAAGTGCCTGCCTTGCAAGCAGGCAGTCATGACTTCGATCCCTGGTACCGATAAAAAGGGAAAAGACAAAAAAAATTCCCTTAATTAAAAAAATAATAATAATAAATAAATTTTCAAAAAAGGTGGAAGATTGAGATAAAAGAGGACATAACAACATAACAATACCAGTCAAAATAGAACAATTTAAGCAACATAGCACTTTACCACAAGATAACCTGAATTAATAGTAGTTATCATAGTGTCTCTTTCCTTGAAATATTTGAGTATAACTTGGTATATTATAGCATCAAACATACCAAGACAGGGTGAAACTATTCAGAAAGAGGATGAAAGTATTACAGTGTGTTTAGGACCAGCTAACAGAAAAACTCTCTATACCCTGAGAAATAATATGAATTATCTGTATCGTTGCTGATTAAGGAACTCTAAAGGGTTTTTAGCCATTAAACACTGATAACTGGGAGACTCCAGTGGGAGAGTCTTGGGTGGCTGGGGGTGACTGAACATAGCCACTGGAAGAATGTATTCAAATATTTTGTTATAAAGTGGTATCTCTGCTGTTTAGTAAACCACTGGACCTGGAAATCACAGCACTGCAATCATAAATAAATTACGTACCCAGAGTCTATGGAAAAAGCAGAGGCCAGAGCAAAATCTAGCTGGCTGGCAGGACATATCCAGGGAATCTCCAAAGTTGGTATTTGTTTGTCTCAGAGTGATTCACCTCATTTCTACTGCAGCAATAAACCAAGCCATAGAGCTAAGTCTCCGAAACAAAACACTTCATTTTGAAGAATGTGGAACCTAATGTCCACAGGTGATTGCAGCAGAAGTTGTACCTGCTCGAGCAGAATGGAGCTTTTCAGTGAGCCAGATGCCTCTTTTTTTTTCACTTGCATTCTAGTCAGGCTATGAGCTATTGGTTGGGTCTTCCTCTTCAGTTTGCTGATCTACATGCTGATCATCTCTGTAGGTATCTGATATACACAGAGAAGGATGCTTTTCTAGTGTTAGGTATAGCCTAGCTCAGTCAAATTGACATCCTATGATGATCAGTCACACATTCTATTTCCTGGACATAGTGTTTGACACCTAGGTACAAAATAGAATAATAAGACACAGATGGTTATTCACAAGAAATACATAATTCTTGATGGCAATAAATATGATGATACTATGACAGTGAGTACCTACCTATCTTGAGGATTAATTTCTTGTACCACTGAGCTATATCCTGAGCCTTTTGAGGATTAGTATCTATGAGTTATTCTTGTAAGATCTTCAGTGTTCACAATTGGAGAACATATAATTCTCAATATTTACAATTCTTAATCTTATGAAGTATTGTTAGTACATTCATTTCATACCGTCCAGAAAACTGAAGTTCAAACTTATTAGATAAGGTACTTGCAATCACACAAGTTGTGTTTCTGTCTCCAGATTCCATGAACTTAAGCTATTTAACAATGCTATGAGTGTGTGTGAGTGCTGCAATGAACACTTATATAAAGGACTCAGGGTTCATGGGGGGCAGGGGAGAGCATAAGGGAATATTCTGTAATTTGTTTTATGTCCAAGTATGCACAAAACTCAGTTAAATTTTACTTATTAAATTGTTAGCATATGCTTTGATGGAAAATTACATTTGATTGCTGT